TGGCTCATTCTTGTCCTCTTACACAGAGGGCCCGTGTATTCCTGTAGCACCAATTCTCTCTCTGTGATCAGGTTTTAGGTTGAACCCTTTAGCCTTGATTGTTCTCAAGACCTGTAGTTCTCATGGGCCTCCTGGATGAATGTGTCTATTTCAGGCATATTAAACCCAGAAGGTCTAAAAGCAGAACCATTTTCTTCCCTTTCCTCATCTCCTGGGGCTCATCTAATTCTAGCCCCTCCACCCAATTAGTATTACTACCATCATTGAAGATTCTCTTTGTCAATAGCTTGACTCAGTTTTTATAAGCATCAGTCTTGTCTAGCATGGTTTTTTTTTCATTGCAAACCACATTGGTTATATGTGAATTGCCTATCATTTTTACAATCTTTGCTCAGTGAGTTTATACAATTAGTTTCTGGTAAGAGACAGACGTGGGGGTGAAAATATTTCTCCCTAACTATCGGAAAGGATTTTTTTTTTTTTTTTTTTTTTTTTTTTACAATTACGCTCGTGTCCTCTTGGGAGAAAGAACTCCAGGTGTTTTCATTTTTATTTTTTAATTTTTTTTTTAAACCATTAGAGGCCCCAGTACAGAAGGATGCACTTTCCACCCTTCTCCTTAGCTGTTCTCATCTGTTCACACCCATCACTCTGTGCGGCTCCGCCATGCTGGTGGTCCTGTTGCTCCCTAGACTCCTCCCTCTGACTCTGGGTCCTTGGTTCTTGATGGATGGTTGTATCCCCCAAGCTGAGTGGTGAGCTCTGAGTAAGAGGGCCTTTTCCTAACCCATCCCCCCAGGAACGACTAGTGAGATGTTGCATGATTACATACAAAAATTTTAAGGTGAAACTCAAACTTCCCTTGGAATTTTGGACTTTAAGAGGCTGAATTTAGCTCTGCTGGTCGGGATGGTATGCGAGCTCTGCCATCCTGCTGCTTTTCCTGTTCATAGTGCCCTGCCTGGGTTTAGGAAGGTCTGTCAATGCTAAAGCTTCTGAATATTTCACAAATGCAAACAAACAAATGGCAAACCCTCCATTTATGTGCTAAACAAGTAAGTAAGCTTCTTGATGAACTTGCCTAGGGTGAATAAATTGAAAGCATAGTTCCGAATAACGATTTAATCACCTATATGGAATTGGGGGACATCTGTCACTAATAAGTTATTTATCGAGCATGTCCAGGTACTTCGTGTATTTCCTATTATTACAAAGTCTACAGAGTAGGTGGCACTCCACTTGCTTGAGGCAACCAGAACTCAGAGAAGTGACTTAAGTGGTGAACTTAGTATTGGTACTCCAAAGCTTGTTTTCTTTCTACTTTGTACTACCGCGATTCACGGTTTTGGGGAGAACTCTTTCTTTGTGGAAAAGGGGAATGATTTTTTCAGACTGTAGTCTCCCTCCCCCTCCTCTTCTGTTGAGGGTTATTGCTGTAGAAAGCCACTGTTTCATGGCGGGAGTGTCAGCTTTTATCTGTTGAAAAGGAGAAATTTGAGACCTTCTAAAAAAATTGCTAGTATTATCAGAGATTTCTCATGAACCATTCTTTCTGACAATAAGTAGGTATAACTAGTTTTATCTTGAGGCCATTTTTAGCCAGTAACAGTAGGAATTGTTTTTCTTTTTAGGCTTGCCTGTTATTTCTTCTCTAGCCTTGCCAATTATTTCTTCCTGTTGATCCGTGATTCTCGATAGTATTAAGGTTTGCATTCTCTTGTAAGTCTCTGATCTGTCTTAAAGCCTACCTTCCTGTCCATAGCGAAAGACCAAATAAAGGTCAAAAAAAGCTGCAGAAGATTTCACTTCATGGCAAAATATGCCAAAAATAACGGTGAAAGTTATAGCAGTATAACCCAAGGGGGAAAAACCTAGTTTTCCTAGTAGTAAAACATGAGTATTAATTCAGGCATCTAAATTGATCGCAAGTTAAGATAGAATATACAGAGTAAGGGGTCTGTAAGTATAGAGATGGATAGAAGATGCTTGTTTCGCAGATAAGAAACTATGCAATAATTTAACTGCATCACTGTATTCTATAGTAGGTTTAGGTTTTAGGCAGTTTGATTTGTATTATGTCCTTTAATTAAGCTTTTAGAATCAAATGATTAGGAAGATTAGGCATAGAAGGTCCTGGAGTCTTCAAAGGAATAGTCAGCCTAGGTCTTTATACAAATTTTCTCCTTTAATGAGTAAATAGATTCTTCTCTTCAAGGATCCGTGTTGCGGCCTCTGATCCCTTGGTTCAGTAATAATGGTACTGCCGATAGACAGCACCTTTTTGTTCAGCGTGTAATCATGTGCCAATTGCTCTGCCCAGCGTGTTACGTGTGTAACTCACGGAGAGCCCCATGAGATGGTATTATTGCTTCTATCCCTACTGTACATGTAAGAAAGCTTGTAGATCTGTGCGCACCTGACATTGCCGGCTTTGATCTTTTTTTTTGTCTCAAGGCACAGCACTGGTACTTAACGATGTGACTATGCAGCTTGGGTGGAACACTTAGCTTACTTGCATTCTGATTTCACGGAGCCCTCTGGGTCTCTGATTTGGCATACTCGAAAGAAGGGGAGAGAGGGAGTTATCGCATAGATTTGCTTCTGAGTTTGTAGGTTATGGCGCCTGTTCCTAACAGGGTTGGGAGTGGGGCAGATTGGCCAGGTGTACTCTTAATTAGATTTTCTCAGACCGCTGGGGATGGGAAGATTCTCAGGGCTTCCTCTCCTGGGAAAGTAGGTTTCTCCCAGAAGCCTCCAGGTCTGCATCTTCCCCAGGCTTCTGGGGCACTCTCCTCCCTGGGTCTCTGGCCTCCATCTTTCCGGTGGTTGCTCGTGGTCTCCTTCCGCGACTCACATACAGCTGTCATTTACTTGCTTGTAAGTGTGCCAGGACCATACAAATCATATCTGTCACAGCAAACAAAACTGAGTTAATTTTTTATTATGAGGGGCCTTTTGTATTGTGAGGGGCCTTTTAAAGTTTGGAACCTCTGATGGTGAAGATAATCTAACTTGTAACCTGGCACACGAGGCTGCCCTTCCAATCCGCTCTTTTCTCCCACAATTAAAGTGCCACACGATGGACCACTTCTGGTAATGTTCCTCTGTGTTCTTCAGCCCTTCCTCTTACGCTTGCTTCCAGGCAGAGCCTCTTCCTCTGAACCCCCTCGGCTTAGAGGACAGTGTGTGTTGACGGTGCAGCGCGTAGCTTGTGTGGTGGTTGTCAACAGCATGGTCAGGTCTGGGCACCCTTCCAAGACTTGATTTTCTTTTGGTTGAGTCTCTGTCTAATCTGCTTACCTTTAGGGTGCTCATTGTACATAGCAGGCAATGGGCAGTGTTTGTTAAGCAGTGAGTGAGTGGAACGTGTCGCCTTATGATCTGCAGAGTGATTGTAAATGCTTGTGTCTTAGCCTTTGTGAAGTTGCCTTAGTGAAGTGGAAGATCATCTTAGAAATCTACAGTTGTGAAAAGGGCCTTGTGTCAGTGGATTTAACCACTCTCAGTGGTGCTTCTCTGGAGGGCTTGGGAAAATGAGCTCGTAGGACTATGAATTCTGGTCGTACTCACAGCTTGCAAAGGATGCCACTCTTTTCAAGAGCTCGAGAATGACGGGGACTCAAGGTTGTCCCTTTAAGGCCATCCTGCAGAGATTGTAAAACTACATGCTCACAGTCATTCTCATGCTGACCTGGAATTTTTGATAGGCTAAACAAAGTAACCCCCGGCTTTTAATGGTTTTGTCGAAGTGACCAACTCTCACATCTTAAGTGCTTATTTCTGTCCTTGGTCTGTTTTTAGTTTATTTTCCCCAAGGCAACTGGGAATGATAGAGCTGATGAGTCAGACTCCCCTTAGAAGAGTCTGTCCGCCAGTATTTCGTAACTTACTATGTCAGGCACTGGATGTGGTGAGTGAGGGAGATTGAAGAGTGAACGGGTACCCGGATTTCTGTCTAGGGCCTCTGGTGGGTAATGATGTGACTTACTGAGATAGAGAATACCAAAGGGTCACTTCCGTGTGGGGGTTCCATTCACAGTTATATATCTCAGAGTGCTTTTGTTGTTCAATAATGTCTCGCAGGAGTCGTATGTGCCTTCAGTGACCACGTGGAACTATACAGCTTAAACAGTTCCTTGGGGTGTTTGCCACTTACCACATCTTCTCCTGTAATTACCTGCTGTAATCTTCAGGTGTACAATAGCAGCTACCATACGCCAGGCACCATGCTAACCGCTTTATATATTTCATCAAAAGGTTGATCGATACTCTTTTCCCATTTCACAAATGGGAATCTGAGACACAGAAGTAACTGCCAATAAATGGCAGAACCAAACTTTTTAAACACGTCTTGAGATAGGATTTACAAAACCATAAAATTCACCTTTTAATGTACACGTCAGTGATTTTTTTTAGTGTATTAACAGAGTTTTGCAGTTATAATCTAATTGTAGAATATTTTCTTCTCAGAAAGAAACCTGTACCTTTTAGCCACTTCCCCTCTAACCGCCCCGCCCCTAGTTGAAGGTAGCTAATCTTTAGATTTGCTTTTTCTGGACATTTCATGTAAATGGGCTCATATAATATGTGGTCTTTTGTCACTGGCTTTTTTCACTCAGCGTAACGGTTTAGAGTTTTATCTGTGTAGTAACACGCGTCAGCACTTCATTCCTTTTTATTGGTAAATAGTATTCTGTTGTATAGCTAGATATACCCCAAGCTTTGACCCAGGTATGTCTGGTTCTAAGGCTCATGCTGCTGCTTTCATGCCCTGCTAATTCCTACACAGCTCTCAGAAGAGTAGAGGGTTTTTGAGGCAATTCTCTCAGGGTCACTTGCACATAGCAAACACTCATTCAGTATTTTACTATACAGGCAGGAAACCAAGTCCTTGTTACTTCATCTGACTCATGGTGTTGGGTTGGGAGAATGGGGGTGTGAAGGCTCCATTGACCATAAAGGAGTATAGAACAATCTAAAGGTCTTTTTTCTGTGTCCAGGAGGAAGGAGCGGGAAGGATAAAAGATTGCTGGGACAGCCAGGAACCACCTGCGCTCTCGAAGTGCAGCAATGCCAGTATCTTCCGACGGATAAACGCCATACTGGATAATTCTCTGGATTTCAGCGGAGTCTGCAGCACACCCGTAAATCGAGGAATTCATGATCATTTGCCAGGTGACTTAGGTGTGAAACCTTGATGCATGTGTGCAGGGCTGTTTCTAGGCAGTTTCCTTGTGAAGCATCTGAAGAAATGACCTTGAACCTCTGGCAACACTTGCCCCTCCCGTAGTTTCCTTTGTGGATTGGGTCCCCCCTCTGGGTGAAGACAGCCTTTGATTATAATGTAGAAATCTATTTTGTAATACTCAGGAAGATTAGGTAGAAAAGGATAGGTCATGGTGACAGAACTATGTGTAGAATTATAATGTGAGTCATGTATATATAATAGTGATTTTTCTGGTAGCCACATTAAAAAAAGTGAAATTATTTTATCCAACATACATGAAATATGACAACATTTAATCAATATCAAACTATTAATGAGATTTTATATTCTCGTTAGTACCAAGACTTCAAAATCCAGTGTGTATTTTACATTTACAGTGCTGCTCAGTTAACTACCTATATTTCAGGTGCTCAGTAGTAGCCACATGCGACTCGTGGCTACTGTATTAGACAGCATAGCTCTTGACTATTTTAGTTGCTTTTAAACATGAGTGCAAGTCTACAGGCTTTTTGTTTTTACGCTATATAGGCTTGTTCCGCAGAGTAGTGGAGGGGAGTGGACAGCGCCTTCAGCAGGTGACACTTCACAGGGAGGTTTGGATGTCTTAAACCTGTTTCATAACTTTTTTTGTGGGAGTTGCAACATATAATAAGAATGTTGATGAAACGTTTTTCTGTTTGAGTCATTTTAGGTGAAAGTGAACATATTTTTAATTTTTAAAATGGATGTTGAAAAAAATTTAACCACAAGTATTCTCAGAACAAGGGCTGGTAATTGCTGCTTTTTAGTTATGAATTTATTTTTTTAACTTGGCCTTAGAAATAATTCCCACAAAGATTCAAGAGTATGTGAACATAAAGTAGCTAAATGTTTGAGGGAAAGGTTCGTTACAAAGGAGACTGACTTGTAGAATTTGTTTTTACTAAATTATATTGGAGGGCAATTGAAGGAAGGGTCTGGGGAAGGGCTGGAGGGTCTTGTCTCTTCTAAATTCCAAAAATCTATATATGTAATATTTTCTGTTAATTAGAGTAAGTCATGAGCTAACCCTTATTTTCTCCTTCTGCTTATGCCAAGTTAAAAATTCAGAGAATTTGCTCGTTCTACATATGTGTTCTACTTCTCCTCCTTTGAGAAAGTTGCATGGATTATATTCCAACATGAATGACAGTCAACAGTGGCTCAGTTTTCACTGGGTTGCTTCAGATATGCCGGAAGCTTTTGTAGTTACAGCAAAGTATTTTTCAGCTAATGCTAGGCTATTGGACTGCCTAAGGGAAAGGACCCCTGGTTAGTGAGAGAGGAGTGGTGAGGAGTGCACTTTTGCAATTTTCCAGGAATCCCAGTCGTCTCGCTGGTAAGATGCCAGGCTCTGGAGATGGTGTTACTCTTGTACCCTGCTTATGCGAGTGGTTGGTCAGATGACAAGGTGCGTGTAGACTTCGTGGTCTTTTCAGACGCTTCCCAGAGCAAAGGAGGAGAAGTACCTGAAGTTAAAGCCTACATCTCTGATTACTCGGACATAGTATAAATCTCTAAACGTAGGATTGTTTGATCAAATAAGTATCTCTTAAAGCTTTCAGTACACACATCAGCTTTTCTTCATTAATCTGTGTATCTGTCCTGTGTCTTTGTTATTACAGCTTTATATTAGATTTTGGTATTTGATAGTGAAGTCCTTTAGCTTTATCCTCCATGATTCTTGGGTTTTTTTTAGATTTTTGCATTTCCATAAAAATCTTAGATTCAACGTGTCATTCTTCCTACTCTCACTCCCTACCAACTCTGCTGGGATATTCATTGGGATTGCACTTAATCTACGAATCAATTTGTGGAGAATTGACATGTTGACAACAAATCTTCCAATTCATGAAGCTGTTTTATCCTCTTGTTTATCGAGTCATCTTTAATTTTTCTCAGTTTTGTAGAAATCGCAAAAATCCTTTTTCAGGTGTAACTGTAGTTCTTGATAGGTGTCTAGTGCTGTTATAAATGACAATTTTTTTAGTGTCATTTCCTGTTTGCTTGCTGCTGCCTGGTAGTGTTTTCTAACGTGGGCTCCAGATCCGGGTGTACTGGTTTCGGACATTTGGGTCCCTCTGATGTGCACATTGAGGTTCATGGTATTCTGTATCCTAAATATTCTGTAGTTTTCAGGCTGTGAATGGTTTTATTCGCTTTAGTTGCCAGGTGTGGTTTTTGGAGGATATAAGGAGAGTTAGATTTAGGTAGCTGCCAGTTTCCTATAGAAACCAGAAGTCTGATCTTTATGTGTTACATTTAGGTCCTTTTGTTAAGGACTGTTTTGTTAATTTTGTATATGGTGTTAGGTAAGGGTCCAACTTCATTTTTTTGCATGTGGCTGTCCAGTTTTCCCAGAATCGTTTGCTGAAGACTTTTCCTGCATTGAACAGCATTCCTTTCAGAAATCATTTGTCTTTTTAGTCTTCTAATGTTTTTTAATGAACATAATTTCTTCATTTTAAGGTGGTTCCAATTTATCACTCTTTTTTGTTTACAGTTAGAATTAGCATTTTCATACCGTACTTCAGAAATCTGTCTTTTTTTGAGGAAATGAAGATATTTCTTATGTTATTTTTGAGAAGCTTGCTTGGTTGATTTTTTTGGACAATATTGTAAATGGAATTATTTAAAATTTTTTTATTTCCTAATTACTTGCTAGTACATAGAAAAGCCTGTGTATATTCATATATTTAAAGTCCTTGCTGTATTTGCTTGTAAATACTAATAATTTATTTATGGAGTCTTGTGGATTTTTCTGTATACAAACATGTTATCTCAAATTATGAAAGTTTTATTCCTTTCCAATCCTGTTCTTTTCATAACTTACTTCTTCGGCTTAGATTACGCAGGAGAGTGTTGAATAGCAATGAGAAAGACCAGCATCTTAGTCTTTCGGAGGGAGTTACATGGACAGAAGCCTTAAGCATTTTACCATTAAGTGTATTAGCTTAAGTTTTTGAGATATTCTTTTTCTGATTAAGGATGTTAATTTCTTTTCGCATTTAATGAGGATTTTTTTTTTAAATCATGAGTAGGCATTAAATTATTAATTTTTTCTGTATTCATTTGACTTTTATCATTTGTTCTGTAAATGTGGGACTAACATTCGGAAAAGAATACCAAAGTGAAACCAGCGTGGCATTCTTGGAGTACACCCAACTTGGTCCTGATACATTTTATTTAGTATATTGCTGGATTTGGTTTGCAAATGTTGTCTTCAGGATTTTTGTGTCCTTGCACGCACAGATCACCTTGTAACTGCCCTTCCTTAAAATATCTTTGGTATCAAGGCTATGCCAGCCTCTTGGAACAAATCAGTACTTTATTTTCCTGGTTTTTTGTTTGTTTGTTTGTTTGTTTTGGAAGAGCTTGTGTAAAATTTAGTGTTCTTTGAATTTTGGCACAATTTACTGGTGAAACTACCTGGCCTTGGAGTGTTTTTATTTTGTTTTTGAAGGAAAGTTTTAAATTATGGATTCAATTCCCTTCATAGACATAGAATTATTCATAGTTCCTTTTTCTTCTAAGTTTTGCTAAGTTGAGTATTTTCTAGGAGTGTCTCCATTTTGTTTCAAATTTCAAATTCATTGGCATAAATTTATGTGTAATAGCCTCAGTGTTTTAGCATTACTGATTTTTTTTTTATTGAGGCATGGTTGATATGCATTATATTAGTTTCAGGTGTACGAAATAATGATCATAGTAAGTCTAGTTAACGTCCATCATCACATGTAGTTATAGGATTTTTTTATTATGATGGAGACTTTTAAGATGTACTGTTAGCAACTTTCACATGTGCAACACAGTATTAACTATAGTCACTGTGCATGATAGCTGTACTGTACATTATGTCCCCCCCAGTTATTTTATAACTGGAATTTTGTACCTTGTGACTCCTTTTACCCATTTCATCCATCCCACAGCTCCCTCCTCTGGCGACCATCAGTCTGTTCTCTGTATCTATGAACTTGGTGGTGGTGGTTGTGTTTTTTGATGCTACATATAAGTGAGATCATATGGCTTTTTGTCCTTCTCTGAGTTATTTCACTTAGCTTAATGTCCTCAAGGCCCATTATGTTGTAGCATGTGGCAAGCTCTCATTCTTTTTTATGGCTGAGTAATAGTCCATTATATAAATATACCACATCTTTTTTATCCATTCGTCTATCAGTGGACCCTTAGGTGTTGTTCCCATATCTTGGCTATTGTGAATAATACTGCAGTGAACGTGGGGGTACGTACATCTTCATGAATTAGTGTTTTAGATTTCTGCAGATACTCAGAAGTAGAATTGCTGGATCATATATGGCAGCTCTATTTTTAATTCTTTGAGGAACCTCCATACTGTTTTCCATCACGGCTGCACCAGTTCACATTCCCACCAACCATGCACGAGGGACCTTCTCTCCACATCTTCGCTAACACTTGCTGTTTCTGTTTTGTTTGTTTGTTTTTGATGATAGCCGTTCTAACAGATGTGAGGTGATATCTCATGGTTTTGATTTGTGTTTCCCTGATGATTAATGATGTTGAGCATCTTTTCATGTACCTGTTGGTCATCTGAATATCTGTTCAATCCTCTGACCATTCTAAAATCACATTTTTTTTTTTTTTTGGTATTGAGTTGTATGAGTGAGTTCTTTATCTACTTTAGATATTAACCCCTATCAGATAGATATACGATTTTCAAATATTTTTTCCCATTCATTAGGTTGCCTTATTATTGTGTTGATGGTAGAATTAAAATGTTTTTTAAATTTTAATGTATTTTATTTAATTCAAAATATTTCCACATGTGATTTATATAAAAAAGTTAACGAGGTATTTTATAATCTTTTTTCATACTAAGTCTTCAAAGTGCAGTATGTATATTTTTAAATTTTTTATTGCTATATAATTGACATAAAACATTGTGTTTTAGGTG